CGCATTGGACAGCCGCCCGTCTCCCAGGGTCGAAGGTGGTGCGCCGCCTGCCCGCGTCTTGCGCTGCGCAGAAAGCGTGCCACCCACTGGCGAAAGAACCCGGCCTCGCGCTGGAGCCGTCTGACGCACTCGCCAGGCGTCTCGCCAATGAGGGGCTCCCATTGGATCAGCCCACGAGGCAGCTTGTATAGCGTGTCGGCGTCCCTGACCGGGATTTCCGTCGCCTCGCCCCAGTCCTTCTCTCTCACACACATCTCCACATCTGCACATCTGCACGCACGCAAGCGGACAGTGCACCCACCAGAACAGACACAGTCAATTGACGCGTGACATATGCTGATATGCCCATGCGTGTATTTGTAACATGTGTATATATATGGGTGTATATCACAGATGTGTACATCTATAGATTAAAAATTAGCCTGGCGAAGGACCCAACCATATGCAGTTTAGAGTACCGCAATTGTGAATATCTTCTTCGGTGGCGCTCCCTATGGGGCCACGAACCGTATGAGGGGTGTGCCGAAATGCGTGGCAGTGTACACAACACGAACGAAGACGATAGGTCCGAATATGAAAGCTTGAGCGCGTGCGAGTCGGATCGCGAGCGAGTGTGATTATGAATGAATCTGCGAGCGATTGATTCTATTCGCATGAATGCGTGCATGGATACGCCCAGTGTAAATGTATGTATACGACTGTGAACAGTTTGGGTCTGCGTGACTCTCGGTACTCGTGACTCTGAGCGTCGCCTCTGCAGGGGGCTTCCCTGGGAACCCCGACGGCAGCGCCCGCGCGCCGCGACGCCCATGTCGGCACGCCACACACCTGGTGTGCGGGACGCATGCGGACGGCAGCACTGGGGCCTTCGGTGGAGCTCCCTGTGGGGCCACGAAACGTGTGAGGGGTGTGCCGAAATGGGTGTGCGGGACGCATGCGGACGGCAGCCATGGGGCCTTCGGTGGAGCTCCCTATGGGGCCACGAAACGTGTGAGGGGTGTGCCGAAATGGGTGTGCGGGACGCATGCGGACGGCAGCACTGGGGCCTTCGGTGGATGGAGCCTATGTGGGGCCAGCGGGGCCACGAAACGTGTGAGGGGTGTGCCGAAATGGGTGTGCGGGACGCATGCGGACGGCAGCACTGGGGCCTTCGGTGGAGCTCCCTGTGGGCCACGAAACGTGTGAGGGGTGTGCCGAAATGGGTGTGCGGGACGCATGCGGACGGCAGCCATGGGGCCTTCGGTGGAGTGGGGCCACGAAGCGTGTGAGGGGTGTGCCGAAATGGGTGTGCGGGACGCATGCGGACGGCAGCACTGGGGCCTTCGGTGGTCCCTGTGGGGCCACGAAACGTGTGAGGGGTGTGCCGAAATGGGTGTGCGGGACGCATGCGGACGGCAGCCATGGGGCCTTCGGTGGAGCTCCCTATGGGGCCACGAAACGTGTGAGGGGTGTGCCGAAATGGGTGTGCGGGACGCATGCGGACGGCAGCACTGGGGCCTTCGGTGGAGCTCCCTGTGGGGCCACGAAACGTGTGAGGGGTGTGCCGAAATGGGTGTGCGGGACGCATGCGGACGGCAGCCTGGGGCCTTCGGTGGAGCTCCCTGTGGGGCCACGAAACGTGTGAGGGGTGTGCCGAAATGGGTGTGCGGGACGCATGCGGACGGCAGCACTGGGGCCTTCGGTGGAGCTCCCTGTGGGGCCACGAAACGTGTGAGGGGTGTGCCGAAATGGGTGTGCGGGACGCATGCGGACGGCAGCCATGGGGCCTTCGGTGGAGCTCCCTATGGGGCCACGAAACGTGTGAGGGGTGTGCCGAAATGGGTGTGCGGGACGCATGCGGACGGCAGCACTGGGGCCTTCGGTGGAGCTCCCTGTGGGGCCACGAAACGTGTGAGGGGTGTGCCGAAATGGGTGTGCGGGACGCATGCGGACGGCAGCATGGGGCCTTCGGTGGAGCTCCCTATGGGGCCACGAAACGTGTGAGGGGTGTGCCGAAATGGGTGATGACGATGATGATGGTGGGAGGAGGAGGAGGAGGAGGAGGAGGAGGAGGAGGAGGAGGAGGAGGAGGAGGAGGAGGAGAGGAGGAGGGAGAGGAGAGGAGAGGAGAGGAGAGGAGGAGAGGAGAGGAGAGGAGAGACGCGGACCACCGTCTCTTCAAAACGAGGACCCAACACCACAGGATGGTTGGGAAAACAGGTCGGTGTGCGATCAAATGGGGTATAGGGTATCATGGGTGGGGCGTGTCTATCCAGGTAGCCATCTTCATGTCTGGACTCGTCTGCTCTCATGATTTCGTCTGTCCCAACATGTCATGTACCACTCTCCCCCGCTCTCCCTTTCATGCCGTGTCCGCTGGACTGGCCTAGCTCGGTGTAAACATTGAAACGACCGTAGCTGAGCCAGGCTATGCTAAATTGGGAAGGGCTTACAGCTACTGCAGGGCGCTACTGGGTGGAAGCCTAACTTGGTGGTCATCGACACAAGTCTGGAGTCCAGAGTCCGAGCTGAGCTGAGCTGCTTGTGGCGTTGGACTTATCGTAAACATGGTCGGCAGTCGAGATTTTCTGGTAAGCCAAGCTGTTCCGATTCCCCAAGAATTGTTTGCACGTCGGGTTTCTCTCTTCAACTGGGCCTGCCCGTCGGTAGCGGCTTGGTTGTCGCCGTCGCCACTCCATGGCCGCCTCGTCGCCGCCCGTCTGCTGGGCCTGCCCGTCGGTCTGGCGGCTATGTGGTCGCCGTCTGGGCCTGCGTTATGTTGCATTGCGTCGCGTTGTTTTGCATTGGGTTCCATTGGTCTGCATTGCTTTATGTGCGTTGCTCTGCGCTGAGTTACGCTGGTATCGTCTCGCCTTGATGTACATTGCTTTGCATTGCTTTGCATTACCCTGCACTGGTTCTCACTGCTTTACATTGTGTTGGTTTGCATTGCGCCACATAGATTGCACCACTCGGATTGCACCACCTGGATTGCACTACGTTGGTCGCACCGCCTAGAGTGTACCGCATACGTTCCAAGAAATCACCGTTTGGGGGCGCACGCTGTCTAACATTTGAGGCATGCGATCGCGCATGAGCGTGTGCATACCAATCGGCTCAGGTGCGCGAGTCACATGCAGAGGTTGGTGCAGATCAGGGCTGGCCGCGAGACTTGCCCTGATCAGGACCAAACCCTGGTCATTTTATGACCGCCAAATACCGCATCCAGGCCAATGTACGACTACCCGTATCCACACACAACTGCGCATGCGCGCGCGCGCAAGCATGTATGCGTGCGCACGCAAACGAAATCGTATTCCTGCACACGCACATGGTACATGCAAATAGTCGTATGTAACGCGCACGCGCGCACGCATAGAAAACAGATCGCGTGCCAGTGCGTCATGAAATCATCCCAGGCGCACGGGTTCAAGGGTCCAGTCGGCATTCTGTGTGCAGTGCATAGTGTGCCCCCATGACGTTTTGCTCTTTCCCTTGCGGGGGCACCATGGGGCTTGATATCGGATTCGGCACGGACGCATTCGGGTGGCCCTCGCTATGCCTTACAGTAGCAGCCGTGCAGCACCAGCCTTGGGCCTTTGGGAGTTGACTGGCCCAGCTCGAGTCCAGTCCCAGTCCGTCTTCCATTGTTGCCCTTACCTCTCCACCTCGCATCCTCTATTACATTCCCTCTCCTCTCCCCCTCCGCCACTTCTCTCCTCTACTGCCCCTCCCTTTCCCCTCCTCCCCCTCCCTCTCCGCCTCTGCCGTCAGCTCTCCTCCTGTCTGCTCCCTTCTGACCCTGCCCTTCCCAAATTCCTCCAACTCCGTCCGGAATTTGCCTTCCCCCTTTGCACGTGCCCTGCGCCCCTATGCGTTTTGTGCGTTTTGCACGCCGGCGCCCTGCGGATTTTGGACGCACGCGCGCGGTCGTACTTTTTGCGGCGGTTTCTCGCCGGTGACAGCGCACAGCCTCGACTGCCGTGGAAATGTTCTCTCTCTCTCTCTCGCGTGCCGGTGATGCTGCCGCAGGTCGGCATGCACATGGGCCACGGCCAACGACCCTAATAAGAGATGGTGCTCCCAGCAAGCGCCACCACCGGAAGTCTGTCGGACCGTGAACTGAGCAGCACATCGAGGTGGCCAGGCTCGCTCGAAGGCGTGCCCGCCGCCGCTTTGCTTGCCATAGGACCTCTGACCATTGGCACAGGGTATACACAGGCTGTGCTTTGGATGCCGCGTCACTCTTCTACCCGACTGTCTCGAGTGCAGCTCGAGTGGTCTTCGCTGTCAGAGAAGGGCGAGATGAGACAGCGGCAGTTGGCCTTCGGGGGGTGGCCCTCCTTGCCACGGCCAGACGCAACTGGGAAACTTAGTGCGTCTGGTCCCTACGGGAGGAGACCCGGACCGATTTTGAGTTGCCGTTGTCTCCATTCGCCCTGCTGCGATCATCTTTCCTCCATCCGCCCTCCTGATCCTGATGGGCGCCCAATCGATTGCCTCGAGTGCTACTATTGCTCCTCCTTCTCCTGCATCCCTCCGTCCTCCTTGTCCTGATAGGCGCCTAATCGATTGCGACTCGCGATTGCGGATTTTCATAACTTAACAACAGCAGTACCCAGCCGATCCAGCTGGCAGCATTCGTCCGACCTTCTCATGAGCGAGCTGATCTTGTTCGGAGCCATGCCAAGGCACCGCATCGCCACGCCGTCGTTCTCACCACAGCGATTCCGATTGGGGCGGTTGGCGGAAAAGAGATGGGTGGGAACCGCATGCTCCCACATATTTCCCACACGAGGATGGCTGGTGTGTTGGAGGAACCGTGGACTCCTCACGAGCACGGCAGTGGTACCAAGGAAGAGGCTGAGGATCGAGGACGACCCGCCACCTCGCCCCGATGCCTCCTCCCAACACCTCGCTCGTTGCTTCGGCTGCGCGCAGACGCGTGCACGCCGCGGGCATCGAAACGGAAGCGGGAAGTGGAGAGGAAGAGCGGCATCTTTGGAGTGATTTGGAGTGGCAGCCGCGCGGGCTCAGCGGCCACGGGCGCGGCCTCCGCCACTCCCCCCCCCCGCCCGGGGCAGCTCGCTTCCAGGCCATGGCGCGCAATGATGAGGAGGAGCAGGGCCGCGCGCCCCAGCGGGGGACGTCGATCGTCGGTCGTCTTCGACCGAATCAGTGATCCAGCAGGCTGCTCAGACCTTTCTCTTATCACTTGCACGGTCTGAACACTACTCTCCTCTCTCCGGAAGATGTTCGTCCTTCTCCGCGTATTGTGTTCCGCACGCCTGATTTCAAACATTGATGTTTTTTATGGGTTGTGCCATCCGATTGTTCTTGGTGTTTCATAATGGTGTTCCCGTTGCAGCATGGGCCCTTGTCGGATCGGCGCTTTGATCCCGTCCATCTGAATGGCGCTCTCGCCCAAACGCGGGCCATTGTTCTGGGTCCGAGTTCTTTTCATCGTTGTCGCGCCCCTCAACAATTATTCAATATGAGGGATTTCGGACACGCCTTTGTCCCCCGAAGTTAGTAAACTTGTCATCTCTTGGTTCGGCGGAAAGGCGGCGGAAGGTTGGAGGAAGGATGCGGAAGTAACAAATCCTACCTGGGGGGCGGAAGGATGTAGCGAGGGGAAGAGGGGGGGGCGGGAGAGGACAGGGGCGGAGAGGCCGCGGCGAGGAGGTTCCCCCGCGGAAGGGGCGCGGAAGCAACGGCGGAAGGGCGGCGGAAGCGGGGGAGGAGGAGAAGGAGGAGGAAGGAGGAAGAGGAGGAAGAGGAGGAAGAGGAGGAAGAGGAGGAGGACGAGGAGGAGGAGGAAGAAAGGAGGAGGCAGGAGGAGGAGGAGGAGGAGGAGGAGGAGGAGGAGGAGGAGGAGGAGGAGGAGGAAGGGGGCCACCGCCCGTGGGCGCCAATAGCATGATTTTGCGATGAAAGGGGGAAGGGACGAGGAAGGGAAGGAGGAGGAAGGAGGGGGTGGAAGCGGAGGAGGAGAGACAGTGGGGAGGCGGAAACGAGGATGGGATGGAGAGAGGGGGCGCCGAAATTCGCATCGTGAACCGATGCCCGCTGTTTGCAATTAGAACCGGAAGCCGCACCCGGAAACTACAGCGGTGACGGCAACGTTGAACACATACTGCATACGTTCCGCAATTGCAGGGTGTCCGCATGGTTACCTCCTTTTTGCCGTTCAACTTTCCGCCCTCCCTTCCGGCGTCGCCCGTCCTTCCATAGCCTCCGTGCATTCAAGTCATGGAGGTATCCGGTAAAAAATCACACGATTCAGCAACATACCGATGCGCGTTGGTTATAGAATACGCCCGCATGCATATGTATACGCAGTAAATAGTACATGACTGTTCTCCTCGCTCCCCTGGTGACGTCCGGGGAAGTATTCGCCCCCCCTTTCCGCGTACTGGTTTGTTATCCGCATGATTCCCTGGACGGGTTTTCAAAGCTTGGGTTCGTTTTCAAATGCTGCTCTCGCTCAGGCGCTGGCCTCATTTTCGCGCTACCGCTCGTTCCGAATCGTGCTCCCGCTGCTGCGCTGGCCTCATTTCCGCGCTTCCGCTCGCTTCGGGCTGCAGCGCTGGCGTCATTATTTCCAGCGCCATGCCGCGGAACGGTTTTCGGCCCTTCCAAATCGGCCCCGAAAGCTCAGGAAATAGCCACCCGAAACAACCATCGTAAGTGATTACACGTTCGGCGTCGATTCGTTGGTTTTGGGGGCCGCAGAAGCCCCCCCCCCACTTTGGGGCTTCGCCACCCCATGCTATGTCAGGCCACGCGTCCTCCGAATCGTGTTCCCGCTGCAGCGCTGGCCTCATTTCCGCGCTTCCGCTTGTTCCGAATCGTGTTTCCCTTGCAGCGTTGTTTTGGGACGTTGTTCTGGCGATTATGGAGCGAGCGCCTTGGAGAGGCCTTCGGGGCCGTCTTGGAGCGACGCTCGGCCCCCCCTATGGGGCTCTTCTCGGGCGATCTTTGAGCCATCTTGAGGCATCAGTAGCGAAAAAGCGAGAAAGCGCACCCAGCTTCAACACACAACAAACATTAGATGTCTTCCGGGGCGCGGGACCTCTTCGGATGCATCTTTGGAGACCACGTCGGGCATTTTGGGGCGTCTGACGGTGGATCCGGAGACCCTGAGGGTCCAGAGGTTGCGTGGGGGAGCTCGCCCCACCCGCTTCTACTTCCCGAGTACCCATCGATTGGATCGATGAAGTTGCCCCATCTAAAGTTGATGTGTCATTGCAGCTCTTGAATAAACCACGACAGGGTAAAATATGGAAACATAGCGAACAACAGTTCCTTTCTAATCGGAACAGACATGATGAATATGGCAGCGATGGAGGGCGGAGGAGGAGGAGCAGGAGGAGAAGGAGGAGGAGTGAAAATGTCGCCTGCATCCGTGGGGGGACGACATCAACTGATGCTCTTGTGAAGTGAGTCTTCAACGACACGCTTCAGTGTTCGCGATGTCCTGAACGAGCTACGCTGTGCAACGCGCGTGTGCACCATCGAGCGGAACAGAAGGCCGAGGAGGAGGAGGGGCTCACTCTTCCAAGTGGGCGGGAAGGGGAGGAGCAGGAGCAGGAGGAGGAGCAGGAGGACGAGGCCCGTCGTTGAAACCCCTTGCCCTACCCCGCGGCCGTCGTTCCAGGACGAGGAGGGCCGCAAGCCTCACAAGGCCCGCCTGGCATCTAGACCACAGCCTGCCCTAGGACGTGGGGGGAAGGCTGGAGCGAGAGCAGGAGGAGGAGGAAGAGAAGGAGGGGGGAGGGGGGAGGGGTGGAGGGATGGCGGGAGGAAGAAGAGGGAGGAGTGGCAGGAAGAGGAGGAGAAGGAGGGGAAGGAGGGTGGAGGGGCAGCAGGAGAAGGATGGTGGAGGAGGGGAGTTCCAGAGGAGAATGAGGAGGAAGGCGAGGGTCGATGATGAAGGTGGAGGATGAGGATGCAAGGTGGAGTGGCAGGGCTGCGCCAGGAAATACGACGGCACCATAGAATTCATGCGATGGGGAGGACGCAGGGCGCAGCACTGAACTCACAAGCAACGGGTCGCAAGCATGCTGGGTCAGATACGAAGGTGCGCTTCAAAGGAGGAGGCGCCAGCCTCCATGTAACTGGAGTCGGAAAAAAACGCCCAACAATTTAGGAGCCGGTGAGGACCGCTCCTGTCACCATCGACGTGATGAGCCAATCACGGGCCCGCCGACGCGCAGGATTCGGAGGCGCCAGGGGACAGGGGCACCCTAGGCTACCGTCACCCCAGACCCGCACCTAGTGCATAAGAGAAACGACCCCGTACAATGCACCCTGTGGCCATCGCATTCGAAGAGAATCGCGCCCACCTCCGCCGCCCTCTCAGCAGCAGCAGCAGCAGCAGCAGCAGGACCTCCCCAGCCTCCAATGCCACGTGAGCGCCACATTATCTGCTCAACAGCCTGGGACAGGGCCTGGAACACAGGGGGAGGGTCGCATTTCGCACCCGGCTTCAGCAGCGTCTTGGCATTGGAAGGGGTTTTGGCCACCGCCAGGCAGCGCTACACTGCAGCGCGGACGGCCCAGGAGCCAACAAAAACAGGATCATCAGCATTAACAGCGAGTTTGCCTTGCACTGTGGCCAGCTTAGGCTGGTGCGGGACGACCTCCTGAACCTCAGGGCGAGCACATATCGACTAAACCGCCCGCGCCAGGATGTCAAAAGCAAGCTTGCATTATTTCACAGCTACTTTTATCGAATCGACCACGGCTTGTGCGACAGCCGCATTCTGGGCGCCGAGCTTAGCCAAAAAGTTTGTTAAAGCATTGCCAGTGAGTCGAAGCACTTCAGTAGCCGAGGCTCCCGAATTCACGAGATCCCCTGGCGTCCTGTGCGTTGGGGTCAACACGAGAGATGACATGACATGCCATCCGTCCTTCCGTGAGCCGAAAGATCTTTCGCCAGATGGACGCGTACGGCGAGATGCCACATTCGAGGTCGGGATCTCAGGTCTGGGCCTCCCTAACAAAGTTAAGCGATCGATAATTATGTAAGTATGGTGAGGTTTGAGGGTCCAGCTCGGATGGCTTTCTAAGCCAGCCCGATGTTCGCCTCTTGGAACAGTCTGGAACTGGCCTGGCAGCCCCCCGAACTTTGCCCAGAGCCAGCCATCGGCAGTGATCTCAGCTACAGTCAACCCGCATAGTAAGGATAGGCAACCTTCCCAAGGGTACCCTTGCGTCCTTGGCTCCTCGGTCCATCCTTCGCCACTTTCGCTGGCCGCGCCCCGGTCGAAAAGCTTCGAAATGGGCGTCCAAGGCCCTTGCATCGTTATCGCGCATCCTTACTATGCTTGTTGACTCTACACCCCGGCCACATCTAGCAGCCTCGGGGCACGAGCACGCTCTTCCGCTACAGTCGGTGAACAGCACTGGGCCCCAAGTGCTTCGAGTGAGGCCCCAGTCCTCAGCATCGTTTATCCGACCCCCCATTCCCGTCCCCATCCCCTTCGAGACCCCCACAGTCAGCCCCCCCAGTTGGGGATACACCCCTCGAAACCCGAAGGGAACGGCCTGTATCCCCATCTAGGGGGGTAAAGCGGCCAGTGGGGCCCAGGCCACGCCGCTGGGGATGGGGATCGGATAAACGATACTCAAGTCCAGGACAGGGGGACGGGAGAGCGGCGGCGGCGGCGTCATCACAGGAATACGAAAGAGAGCGTAGAGGAGAGGAGCGACATCCCAATCCGAGCCCCCAAGAGGAGAGAGACCTTGCTCCCGCATAAGCTGCCTGCGATGCCAAATATCATCTGGGCAGGGCTGCCTAGCCTGCACATCTTTTTCGAAGGAGGCGAAGACAGCGTCGCAATCGTAAAACTGCTGGCCAAGTCGGCTGCGCAAAAATGACATAATTTTCCAGCGGTCGAGAAGCCAGCCTGAAATTTACGCTCTGGGGGCCACAGGCCCCCAGACAAAAAAGGGCCTTGGCAGACCCTTGGTGCACACCTGCTGGGAGGGCGAGAACAGAGAGGCGCATCGCTCGAATCCAGACCTCCTCGGTGCTGGCAGCTTCTGGCCAGTGGTAGGGGGCCCTGCGCCATAGCCAACGCTCAACGCCATCACGGACTAGGCCCCGCACCTCGGCAGGCGCGCCTTAATGCAGAGAAACGGAGTCGCCCCCGCCAGAACGCAGCACACGCGGGGCCGTCATATCCAACCCAATCTTTCGAAAGGTGAGGATGACCGCCCAGTTCGGACCGAAATACTTCCTCCAAGTGCTGAGGTCATCCCGTCCCACAGCCAGGCGGCATAGCGAGCGAGAAGCGGGCAAGTTGCGTCAAACGTCCGATGATACATGGTATATGTTTGCATGCACGCGTACACAGTCAGTGACGCAAGGCCGTCCCTGGCCCCAACAAGCTCTCCAGCAAAAGCTCGAAGCTTTGAGGGTGGCGATCCCAAAGACCCCCCGTGATGGCTGCAGACAGCACAACGCCCGTTTTCGACAAAGCCGAACCTTCAAACCGCCGGCCATCTCGAGTGCCCGACGCCTCCCGCAGCGCCCCAGGGCTGTCCCCAAACGCTCCGTCGCCTGGGTTCTGCGGGCGGTGCCACCCGCCAGAAGGTCGCGCCCCAGACCCCGTGCAGACCTGAAAGCAGAAAGCTCGGCAACCATCGCCTCAGCCTTGACCGCCCGCGCATACTCACGAGCGGAAGTAGAATAGCCAGCCAGACTTGGTCTCTGGCAAACGGAAACCGATGTCACGAGCATCCTGCACTAATGCCGGGACAGCACATGACCGACCTACAAACCTGGAAAAAAATCAGAAACGCGAGGCGCGGCTACGTTTATTAGAGGCGTTTGATTTGGCGACAGGGAATAGCAATACTGAAGGTTTCGATCGTGATGTACCGTGCCCAGGATTGTGTTCTGCTGTACCGTGCTGACATGACTTGTGTCATGCCGTGATGAATTGTGTTGTGCTCTATACTGTTGTGGATCAGGTCGCCCTTGGTATCTGAATCCTGGCCGACTTGATCTGGATCTTGGTAATCGTCAAATGGGTCTCTCGCCTTGGCGCCGTGCGCGTTGGTTTAAGAAGATCAACAACTATCAAGATGGAGGGCCAGTGGAGTTCAAGATGCGGGATGCAGTTCTAATTTCAGCGCTATTCACATACCGCTCCAAAGCCCTCAACAACTCCTCGGATGGAGGGCCTGTGGTTTTCAAAATAATTTGGGAGGGAAGAACACCCTCGACAGTTCTGTCGGCACGAGAGAGAGAGAGAGAGATCACGATATAGAGACCACGACAGGATGTGTGCAATAGTATAGGGAGTGCGTTCGAGAGTCTTAGAGTTGAGACCATAACGGAGACTATACGGGGGACCATGGAGATCATACGGTTTAACATGCGGGAGACCATGCCGGAGACCATACCGGAGACCACGGACAACCGAGCCACCGATTCCAAATATGCAGGATCCCGCACCGCGTCTGGCAATACATGTATATGTATATATACAGAGAGAAGAAAAGAGAGAGAAGGAGCAAGAGCAAGAGTACCCTTACAGATAAGGTCTTTTGGGACATGTGGCTCCCGCCGCAGCGCCGCGCACGTTGATTTTGAAAGTGTCACACCGTTACCACGATGGGTACCTGGGCGTTGTCAAATTTATAGGTCCGCAGTTCCAAGTTGTGCAAGAAGTGGAGGTGGATCCTTTTCAACACGTGGCTCTAGCTACAAGCCTCTTCAAATTCCCTGGTCCGAAGTTAGTAGCTGCGCGGATGGAGGGGGTCTCCTTTTCATGGCGGGGTTCTCGCTTGCAACTTCCGCAGATCGCATAGCCAGAGCTTTGACACTGTGCAACAGTCACACGAATTTGAAGCAAACACGGTGCAAAACGAAGCTGTCGTTTGACCGTTCTTTGAACTGGATCAGTTACCTCCGCACCTTGTTTCTAGCTTGCGGGGTGGATCCTGGTCGTTCAGAAAAGGGGAGCTTCGCCTCAGTGGCAGGCCGACTGGGCTTTCGTCATTCAAAGGAGGCGCTTCCCGCAATGGCACGGGGTGCTTTTAAGGGATTGATGGAGAGGCAACTTAGGACGGAAGGCTGTATCGAACCATTGATGATGCATCTTGTGCTTACTCTGGTCCTGAACTTCCGCCTCCGCAAACTCTTCAATTTGTTCCTCTGCTTTTGGGTGACCACGGAAACGCCTCTCCGAACGCGAATTCATAACAGAAGGCATGGTCATGTTGTTTTTTTGTTAAATGTCGTTGGAGCCATGCCACCATGTCCTGCGCAAAAAAAGCAGCTCCGCTCAGATGGCACAATCCCTTTGCATTTGCACCTGTGCACCTCGCATGTTCCCTCCCACTCACCCACCCACCCTCAATCGCGCACACTAGGCAATGTGGAGAAAAGCCTCCATCCTGCTCCCCCGTTCTCCTCAGTCTCCTCCCCCGGCCGTTCTTTCTGCGCCCTGCTTCCTCACATACTCAAAACCCAACGTGATGATGCAAGGCAGGAGTGCCAGATTTCTGGAGCTCCCACGAAAGACCCTCGGACATCCTGCTCGCAGAGGGCATGAGGTCATTTACAGGTAACCTTTCTATTTGTTTGTTTGCTCTTCTGCGTGTTGGAATGACAGGGTCTTCCCGTAGGCACCCTCCTTCGCTCAGAAGTCTGTCGAGTCTGCCACGACTGTGCGTAAAGTATCATCAGGAACATACGAGACCCAGTCTGAAATTTGACGCCATCTCCGGCTGCAAACATCCCACGCAAATTGAATTGTCAAGATGCAGAACGAGCCCTCCATCCCCTCAGTCTTCATGAGTCGTCGCACCGCGGAGCCCAGGTCGCTCCCAGGCTCCCGGCTCTGGGCCCCAGGTCCTGGGCTGCACAGACTCTCGATTCCGGGCGCCCAGTGCTCCCAGGCTCCCGCTGGGAGACACGGAGCACGAGCGCAGCCGCCCCCCCCCCTGCAGAGCGGAGCTCCGGTGAAGCTCGAGCTCGCGCTCTAAACTCACTCGCCAGGTCGACGTTTTTCCTTCAGATCTGACGTTGCCGAACTGCAACGTCGAAACAAATCACCACTGCAGCCCCGAACCCCATCTCTGCGCCACTTATCGAGCGGGATCGATCTGTGAGGGTCTCGGGTCACGAAACGGGCGAACACGCCCGTTGATAAATTGCAACGCCAGGCGGCGGCGGGCGCCTTTGGGCGGCCCTGGGCGCCTTCACCGCACGGTCGGCGCCCTCGCTCTCGGTGCGCAGGCTCGCGGCCCCGGCTCCTCGGACATCCTGCTCCCCTCGGCCTCCGGAGGTGGATGTCGGGACTCCAATTGGTACCCGAGGTTCGCTTCGGACGCGGGGAGCGGTACCTATACGGAGCGGGGCCTGAGCCGGAGGGCCGGCGTCTGTCCCGAGACGGGCTCGCTGTTGGGGGAGAGCGTCCAAGAGGGGGTGATGATTCCTCTCGCTTCGCGGGTTGCACGTCCGGAGCACGTGCAGTCACGTCGTCGCGGGGCCTTTTGGGAGCCTCCTGGGGGCCTCCTGGAGGCCTCTTGGGAGCTTCTTTGGGCCTCTTGGGGGCTTCTTTGGGGCCTCTCCCCCCCCTCCTTTTCATACTCCCGCCCCATATTCCCTTCCAGCGCCGGCTCTAATCATGCGCGCCGCCGTGACCAATTTCCACCTGGCTGGCGCCATCTTGGGCCGTCATGGGGCGGTCTTGTCCCGTCTTGAGACCATCTTGAGCCGTCTTCACGCCCTCTTGGACCCCCAGGAGGGCCAAGGAGCCGAAATCATTGATGTTCCGTTGGTTTTTGTTGGTTTTTGGGCCCACAAGGGGCCCTCCACCTTTGGGTCGACGGAAGTGGCGCGACTCCGGGGGGGGTTTAGGGGGGGAGAGATAACAATGTAATTCAATGTATGTAGCAATTACGTCTCATGTTTTTTTGACCGCCTTGTGGGCCTCTTTGGGCTGTTTTGGGGCCCTCCTGGGCCGTTTGGGGGGAGCCCTTTTGGAGGTTTCTTGGGCCTCTCGCGGCCTCCTTGGGGCCCTCTTGGGGTCCTCTTGGGCCGTATTGGGGGTCTCTTGGACCGTCTTGGGGTCCTCTTTGGGCCGTCTTGGGGCCCTCTGGGGCCGCCTTGGGGTCCCCTTGGGTGCTTCTTGGGCTGTCTTGGGGTTCTTTTGGAGGCTGCTTGGGCCGTCATGGGCCTTTGAGAGCCGGAAAAGCCGAGAACGGTAAAATCTATCAAAAACCTGAGGGAAATCTATGTTTTTGGCCTCTGGAAGCGCTCTGGTGGGCGCTCTTGGGGCCCTCTTGGGCCATCTTGGGGGCGCGTTGGGCCCTCTTGGGGCCATCTTGGGCCGTCATGGGGCGGTCTTCTCCCGTCTTGAGACCATCTTGAGCCGTCTTCACGCCCACTTGGACCCCCAGGAGGCCCAAGGAGCCGAAATCATTGATTTTCCGTTGGTTTTTGTTTGTTTTTGGGCCCACAAGGGGCCCTCCACTTTTGGGTCGACGGAAGTGGCGCGACTCCGGGGAGGGGGTTAGGGGGGAGAGAAATCAATGTAACACAATGCAACATGTAGCAATTACGCAATCATTGGATATATTGGATACGTTGCATTTGGGCTTCCGCTCCGCTGCGCGACCTGCCTCCGGCAACACGTCACTTCCGGACGTGGATTCTACAGGCTTGCGCCACATCCGCCGACCCCGTACGTCCTGCAAGTGACGCCCGTTCGGGTGACCTCATTGGAGATTGACTCTCCAATGGCGCTACACGTACCGATCCCAGTGGAAAGAGGATTTGGAGGAAAGCAAGAGGGAGGGCGGTGAGTGGAGGGGGCGTCCAAGAGGGGGGTGATGATCAGGGGTCGGATATATCCGGGCCTCCCAGATGGGGTCGGAGCAGATGAGGTTCGGAGGATCGCGCCGCATCGCCGATGCGGCGGCGATGCGGTCCGATATGCAGCCCGATCGCCTCCACGCGGACGTCGCCGTTGCATCGTCGACGTCGCCGATGCATCGACGATGCATCGCCGATGCATCGCCGATGCGACGAGATCCTCCGACCCCACTTCGGGGGCCTCTGATGTCATGGTGGGGCATCGGAGCCTGGCTTGATGAGCACACCTGAGAAACTCGCACGCGCATCGCACGGGGCCAGCTGAGATTTTCGCCGGCCATCTCCACGGCCGTGGGCACCCCGGCGCCACCGCCTAGCCCCGCGCAGGTCGGGGGCGGCCAAGAGGGGTGTGATGACCAGTGACGAGTGGGTGGTGGTGGTGGTGGTGGTGGTGGTGGTGGTGGTGGTGGTGGTGGTGGTGGTGGTGGTGGTGGTGGTGGTGGTGGTGGTGGTGGTGGTGGTGGTGGTGGTGGTGGTGGTGGATATGAGGGCCAAGTCCATGATACCCCTGCGGATTTCATGACCACCTTTTCTCTCAACATGTCCACTGCCCCCGGCCCCCCTCGTCCGCGCACACGCGTCGGGAAATAATTTGCGACCCCCCCTCTTGCACGCTCCCAGCTTGGACGCCCCAATGCTTTGGAGGGGGCAAGAAGTGGCATCTGTTATCCCTCCCAACGAGACGGGCCAGCCAAACCCCGACCACCACCCAGACAGGGGTGGGGAGGAGAGGAGGAAGCTGACAACGAAAGGGGATAGAGCGGGAGCCTACCCTCCAGGAGGCAAAGGAGAGCGGAGCCCTCTAGAGGAGGAGGATGCTTCCAGAGGCACGCACGAAAACATGACCATCGACCTTAGATGTCCTCCCTCCTCGCCCTACCACAGGGGTCTCTGGAGGTCTCCTGAGGTTGTTGTATATTTTTGAAAACCGCCTCGTCCTCCTGTCCTGGAGGGGGAGGAGGAGGAGGAGAGGAGGAGGAGAAGAAGGAGGAGAAGGAGAAAATGGAGGACGGGGAGGTGGAGCAATCCATCTTGTTCTCCTCCTCCTTGAGGCCAACCTCGACGACGAATTCTTGAAGAACCCGTACTCGGGAGCCTCCTTCCGCAACCCTTTCCTCGACAGGAACCGCTTGGGGAACCGCTCGGCGCCCATCATCCTCCAGGCGAGCCGTTGTCGTAGTCGTAGTCGTTGTCGTCGTCAGTGAGGCGCAGTTGGAGAAGGCGGAGGGACGTCTTCGAATGCTACTGACGGCCTCTGGCCCTTTTTGGCCTTCCCGGCGAGGCGAGAGGATTGGAGGAGGCGTCGTCGTCCCCCCCCCTCCTCCTCCTCCTCCTCCTCCTCCTCCTCCTCCGCCTCCTCCTCCGCCTCCTCCTCCTCCTCTTCCTCCTCATCCTCCTCCTCATCATCCTCATCCTCATCCTCGTCCTCATCCTCATCCTCATCCTCATCCTTCTCCTCCTCCTCCTCCGCCTCCTCCTCCTCCTCCTCCTCCTCCTCTCTGATATTGTTTCCATTCCTCCCCCCCCCTCCCCCTCCTCCCCGCTCTCCTGCCCAGACCTTCCAGGGCCGTGGGAGGCTCCACCCGAGCTTCTCCAGGGCACCCCGTTTCGGCAACGGGCCATACCGGATGCCCACGCTGCCCTGGAAGGCGCTCGGCCGTTTCGCGCTGCTTGGCGGCTGCCGTGACCTCCCGTGTGTTTGCTCTGTCCCAGGAGGGAGAAACCACACAGACACAATTAATCGTCGATTCCCCCGATAAAAGTTGGGAAAATATGGGAAGTGGAGGGGAAGACAAAAACCCAGAAAATATTGGAAAATATCGGGAATCCTGTTATCTGTGTGTATTTATTTGTGTGCTTGTGGGCCTCTTCACGTCATTTGCTTGTGCGCCCTGGCGCACCTCGGCGGCGAGAGAGAAGGAGAAGAAGAAGTCCTTCTCGGAAGGTTCGGAAGTCCCCCGGCCTTTCTGAGAAGTGTTCCAAGCATTCCCCGAAGAGGCAGAAAACTTCTCAGAAGGCGCGAGGGGCTTCTGAGGAAGCCCCGCCGCCTTCTGAGAGGGCCTCCTCCTTCTCACTCCCCCCCTCGCTCGCCGCCGAAATGCGGCGTGGAGGCAGCGCTACGCCCGGGGGCTACATAGGTCCTGCAAGCGGCTTCGATGCATCGCGTGCGTCATTCTGGCCAGACCTGTTGTGAGCGAGACAAGGTCTGCCCGCACGACTGCTTGTCCATTCTGCAGCTCTGCAATGACCCGCGCGGGGCAGTACGGCTGCGGCTGCAAAGGCGACGGCGTCTGCTCTGGGCCCGGATGCGGCGCCCCTGGAACTACGCATTTTGGGACTTGGAACGAAACCATCTCGACGGTCTGGGCAAGCTCCTCGAGGGAGGTGAGCGCTTGCTGGGCCTGCGCCAGGTCTGCGGCACGCCCCTCTCGATGACTTGTGGCTGTGGCCACGGCCGCTTCTGCTGCATCTTGCGCCTCCTCGAAACGCCTAGTGGCTCTCGTGACGCAGCAGTTGTGTCACTCTCTCCTTTGGCGGGCCTGCGTGGATACTCATAAACTGGAGCACGATCTATTTCTTCCGACTTGACTCGATCAAGCCATGGTTTGTTGTGTTGCAAACTGCTTCTCGGCAGCCTGCAAGGCATCATTGATGTGAGTGCGGTGTTTCTCGCGCTGTGCCACAGTCTCGTTAGATTCCACCCACACGCGATGCTGCCGAGCCCTTGGCAGCGTGGCAACCTGGAAAATTCCCTGGGACTTCACCTGCGGCTTCAGCGTGTGACCGTCTTTCCGGGCGGTACACGGGATGTTGAACGGCGGCGACGGCTTCGATCTCCAGGCTTCTCTGGGCAGCACGAAATGAGCTCCACAGCGTGAACGCTACCATACCGATCGCGACCGCGGCGGCGATGTCTGCGACATGCTGATATGACGGGCCACGAGAAGCACCTGTGCCTCGGCGACGCGGACGACTGTAGGTGCTCGGCTACCGCGTTCCTTTGCTCGCCGATGCCGGGCTGGCTGGTGCGGCCGCTTCGGGCCGTGATGCTACGACCCCTGGTGGACCGGGCTGCGCAGGCACTGCACGGTCGTCCTGAAGCCGATTGCGCACCGTGGGTCGGCCTTGCTTTCACGGTGCAATCGCGTCAGGAGCGGGGGGGGGTGTTAACTGACCACCTCGCTGATCCTGGCCCAGACTGATCCTTAGCCCAGGATGGGCCTGGCGAGGACTCGTGAGGCGGATAGTTGATGCCCGCCGACGAACAGCGAGGATGCCACCGTTGCTCTACAGGAGCACCTGCAGCACCGGGGCAGCGCACGCCTCCGCTGCGGAACTTGCTCGCCGCTCTCAGCCGCATTCGCGGTGTCGTTATTCCTCCTTCCTCTCCACAGCCGATGTCCCGACCAAGCCCTGAGTCCAGCGCAGAAGGATCGGCGCCTCGAGCCGCTCCCAGGCACCTCTAGCCGGTAGGAGGGAGGGAGGGAGGAGGAAGAAGGTGATGATGGCCATGACGACGACGGTGTCCAGGCATATCAGGCTCCGTCACCTCATTAGAGCGGTCGCCCTTGCTTTCCTCTGCCTTGCATTCAACAGTGAGCGGCGATATGAAAACAGGCACGGCTTCGGGTAAGAGGGAGGGAGGAGGGAGTCAGGGGTAGAGATGGGTAGTGCTGCATCGTCCTCGTCCTCACGGTCCTTTGTCCTGCCCACCCCAGAACCCGTAGAACCTCTTGGGACCCTCTTGGCCTCGTCCATAGACGCCCTCCCCTCCTCCTCCTCCTCCTCCTCCTCCTCCTCCTCCTCCTCCTCGCCCTCCTCGTCATCCTCCTCCTCCCCATCCTCCCCCTCCCCCTCCCCCCCTCCCCTCTCCCCCTCCTCACCCAACTCCTCAGTCAGGCGGCCGAGTACAGCTACAACAGCCTCGACGAGACGCTCGCGGAGTGGAAGTGCGTGAGCGTGTCGGAGGCGCCCGCCCGTGGGGCCCTGAGGGGGCGCGCTCGCTCTCGACCCCCCCTCGCCGCTGCCCCCCCCCCCCCCCCCCCCCACACACCCCTCTTATCCTCTGCCTACCCCCCTCCCCTTACCTTCCATCCCTGCCTCCTCCCCTTCTCTGCCTCCCCTCCCTACGCCCTCCCTCCCTCCCTCCCCTTACCTTCCTTGCCTCCTTGCTCCCATCCCTCCCTCCTCCCCCATTCCCCTTCCCTCCCCTTTCCTTCCTTCGTTGCTTCTTCTCTCCCGACATCCTCTCCCTACCTCGCTCTCCACTGCACCCCCCCTTCTTTCCTCCCCCCTTCTTCACCGCCCCTCACGTCCACTCCCCTCCCCTCTTCCTCCTTCGCCTGCCCTCCACTGGGCCGCTGGCTGCTGGAAGAGGGGGCGGGGTACTTCAGGCCTTCGTTGCCTTGGACCTCCGGGACCCAGAGAAAACAGCGCACGGCGCGAGACCTGGACGGCAGGCACGGTGTCGAGACCCTCCAGGGGACCTGCGGAAGCGGGGGATCCCGCTGAAGATAGGGCGGAACACGCGGCGTCAGAAGCCGGGGCCAGCGTCGTCGGGGCACGTGGGCACTCCTCCACAGGAGAGGGGGGAGGGGGAAGGCGCGGGCCGGCTGCACGTCAGAGTGACCCTGCGCCGGAGGGACCTTTAGTGCGCAGGTTTCGGACGCCGCGATCACGCGGCGGCGGGCGTTCGCGCCGCGTCTACGCTGCACTCGGCGCGGCGGGCGATCGAGGATCAGCGCGGGCGTTCGCGCCGCGTTGAAGCGGCGGCGGCGCCAGCGCACCAGCTGCATGACCTCGGCCAGTAGTGAACGACATGCGACATCGTTGGAAAGCCGCGGTCGGTCCAGGTTGACCGATCCACGAAGCGTGAGAAACCAGTGCCCGCGTCTTGGCGACGTGAGCTTGCCGTAGGCAAGGGCAGGTTGGGTCACCCGCAGGAGCGCGAAGCCAGGAGCACTGTGTGCTTCGCAGCATGGCTGGGCTGGAGAGCTGATCTTCACAGGGGAGGCGGCGCGAAAGCGCAAAGACAATCGCGCACCTCGCAGCGCGAAGCGAGAAGCGCGAAGTCGGGTGACCTAGGGTAAAAGATGGCATGGAATGAACAACAGAGGTTGGCGTGCGGACATGTTGTCGGCCGCCGTCAGCAGTTCTGGTCAAGTGCGGTGCGCATTAATCAACAAGTGCGAACATGTACTAGCCCGCCGCTCTGCGGTTGATCGGGAGCTTCCGTATACAGAAGAAGGGGCGTGTGTTTGTGGGCGGGAGGAGAATGAGCGGGAGGCGGTTGCATCCAGCTCCTCCCGCTCCCCAGAGATTCCGTGAGGTCCTTGGAGATCGTTGTTCCTCCGCATCTTCCTCCACCTCCAACTCTCCTCCTCCTCCTCTCCTCCTCTCCTCCTCTTCTTCCTCCTCCTCCTCCTCTGCTTCCTCCTCCTCTTCTTCCTCCTCCTCCTCCTCCTCCTCCTCCTCCTCCTCCTCCCCCTCCTCCTCCTCCTCCTCCTCTTCCTCCTCCCCCTCCTCCTCCTCCTCCTCCTCTTCCTCCTCCTCTCCTCCTCTTCTTCTCCTCTTCTTCCTCCTCGTCCTCTTCTTCCTCCTCCTCATCCTCCTCCTCCTCCTCCTCCTCATCCTCCACCTCCTCCTCCTCCCTCCTCCTCCCCTCCTCCGTCCTCCTACGATTTCCTTCCTGCTCATCCTCGTCATCGTCTTCGGGGGCCTCCCTCGGGCCCGGGGGCGATTTGGCGACTCTGCGAGGGTCTCGAGCGGGAGCCCGCTCGAGCGACTGGGACGCGCCCGCTGCGCCCCGGTGCGCCCCGGCGCGCGCCGGCAGATCCCCCTGGGGGCGCGGTGAGGCGCGCTGGGGGTTGTGACTTTGGGGGGACATTTCGGTGCGCCCCGGCGCGCCCTGGCGCGCGTCTGGGGGCCTCCGTGGGGAGGCTCGGGGGGGCAGTTTCTCGAGGATGTCCCACGCGAGGGGCGACGGTTTGGAGTGCGTCTGTGGATTTCCCGGGTTTCCCGCAAACAGGGGCCTCCAGGCCTCCTTGGAGAGGCCCGGAGAGCCAGTTTTCTGAAGATGTCCCACGCGAGGGCGCCGGCTCGGAATTCAGATTCCCTGGATTTCCCGGAACGGAAACAGGTGCCTTCTGATGGCCCACTTGGGGAGGCTCGGGGGTGGGGGGGGCAGTTTTCTGAAGATGTCCCACGCGAGGGCGCCGGCTCGGAATTCGCTGCCGGATTTCCCCGATATCCCCGAAAACGGAACAAGGGGCCTCTGAGGGCCTCCTTGAGCGGGTTCGGGGCGCAAGTTTTATAAAAATGTCTCGCGACGGTCTGGACTCGTCGCCAGATTTCCCGCATTTCCCTGAAACGGAACAGGGGGCGGGTTGGCGGGCCCGTTCCCCTCAAGACAAGCTCCTTCAAACAAGCAGTGGTGAGCAGTCGTTACCAGTAGTAATCGCACAAGCTTCTCCGTCACCCTTCCCCCCCGCCATTCCCCAGAGCACAAACCGATTCGTTCAATTCGATTCGGTGCCGACTTTGCCCAGCTCGACCCGATCTTGTTCCATTCTCCAGACGATCAGACGCGGCACGATGCTCACACGGCGTAGTCCTGCGTCCGACGCGGCCGAGTCGAGCCTATGTCGGCCCCGAGCCGATGCGACCCGATCCGATGCACATTCCGCTCTGGTCCGAGGGAGAGACGGTAGAGGGAAACAGTTAATGAACACCCCCCCTGCCCCCCAAACTCACAGTTGGCACGCGCGGGGGAGGCTGCGGTCGAGGTGCAACTCATCAGACCCACCGCCAACTTTGAACATTGGGGGGAGAGGGAGGCGTTCACAGATGAATGTGGCATGAGTGTTCGCTATTTGTTTCCGAGGCCTGGATTCGATGTTGATTGCTCCTGCTCTCTCCCACCTCCCCCCCGCGGTGTAAGGAGGCGGCATGTGGTTATCCTCCTGGATGTACTCCTCTTCCCCCTCCTTTCCTTTCAGCATCTCTTAGCATTAAAATCGGACCTGTCCATCTACAGGAGGAATCTTCAAAAGTAGTAAAACAAATACTCAGGGGACTATTGATTGATTGTTGTTGACCATTTGGGGATATGTCTTGGCTATTTTTTATTTGTTCTCCAACATCCCCTTGTAGGGGGACAGGCCCGACTTAATCTTAGCGGTGCTGGCTCAGGTGCTGGCTTGTAGGAACGAGCCTCCGAACGGCATTGCTGTTGCGCGTTGGAATGGCTCGTCATCGCAACTTCCAGGTCAACGGCGCCCCTGCTCGAGCAGTCGCCAGGGAAAATCCGATAACCCCTGGAGGCCGTGGTGGCCAAGGCGCTTTTCGGCTTTCCCCCCTCGCGCGTTCAGTAACAGTTCACTGTAGGACCCAGGAGGAGAACCATAACATTGGGAACTGGAATCTGAAAGCTGCACTGGAGCTGTGACCGGGGCCGAGGAGCTCAGGACTGGTACCAGTTGCTGAAACCCGATCCTCGCAGCCTCGTGGCCCCACAGGGGGGCCGGCGGATGTTTCGCATTCCTTCTGATTCGGTGGAGGGGTGCAAGGCATTTCCTTATGAAAGCGGGGCTCTAGCTTGAATGGCAGGCTCAGTGGGTGCTCATCCTTTAACGGGGCACTTCGTATGGTGAAAAGAAAAACCTGCAGGGACGTATGAGGAGGGGACTTGGGACGGGATGTTGTATTACACGATCGTTGGTGCATCCTGGGTTAACGCTGGTTTCTCTTCCTCCTCCTCATAATCATCCTCCGCGCGCGGTGGAGCGCCGCCGAGGACGACGACGACGACGACGACGACGACGACGACGACGACGACGACGGCGACGGCGACGGCGACGGCGACGGCGACGGCGACGGCGACGACGACGACGACGACGACGACCCCCCCTGGCGCAGGGAGGTGGTTGAACGGCGCCAACCGTGTGCCAGATCAGTTTGCTCCACGCGGCCGCGCGTGCCAGCACGCGCGGACGCGTGCGTCGATCTGGCCTGGAGCACTGCTGGCACCGTCCAAAGGAGGGGCCGACGATGGCCTCCCCTCCCTGGCGGGGTACCCACCGAGGCCAGCCTCAAGCAAATGGCGCCCCAGAGCGGAATCAGCCGGCGCAGTCCCTTGCAACGCGCGGCCGCGCCCTTGGCGGCCTTCGCCAAAGGCGGAGGAGGAGGAGAGACGAGGAGGACGGGGAAGAAAAGGAGGAGGAGGAGGAGAACGATGAGGAGGACCAGGAGCAGCAGGAGGAGGAGGAGGAAGGCGAGGAGGAGGAGGAGAAGAAAGAAAAGAGGGAACGAGGGGGAATGCGAGGGAAGAGGAGGATGAGGAGGGAGGACGAGGAGGAGGATTATGAGGGAAGAGAAGGAGAAGGAGGAATAGGAAGGAAAAGGAAGGAGGAACGATGATGATGGAGGGAGGCAAAGAGCAGGAGGAGGAGGAGGAGGAGGAGGAGGGGGCGGGATGCTCTTAGGAATTTTACAGGAAGATAGGCCGTGGGGAGAAGAGTATGTAGAGAAAGAGGAGGAGGAGGAGGAGGAGGAGGAGGAAGAGGAAGAGGATAATTTGGAGTACGAGTAAGGAGGAAGACCCGAGGAGATCGCAGGGGATCATTGGAAGTCCGTCAGCGTCTTAGTTAGGCAGGAGGAGGAGGATAATGAGGATGGATCCAGGAGGCTGAAGGAGGTTCTAGGGAGTTGCCAGTGGTCGAGGAGGAGGAGGGACAAAGAAGTTTCGAGGAGATCGCCGTCCTGTCCACGCACCACCCACTCGGATGGCAGTTCGACCCGTGCCGCTACGTGGGCGGCTCAAAGATGGGGCCCTGAAGAATGGGGCCAAGAGGACGAGCGGCCTCGAACAGTGGAGTTTCAGAGGTCGGGGTCCCTTTCCGACAGGGCTCATCCCTCACGAGCCTATCTCTGAACTGCCGACTACATGGCGTCACTCGTGCGGTTGTTCGCGCTCCCCACCCCGACCCCTCGGCGGGTCACGTTTTGACCCCAGCCGCGGCGGCGTCAGGCGCGCGGTCGTTCCCGCTCCCCGCCTCGTTCCGCCAACTCTTTGTAAGGATGGGCTCGAGAAGGGTCAGCGGGGAAAAAGTCGACAAGTGATCGCCCCCGTTGCCCCTTTCCTGCTGCTCATCCACCCGCCTAGTACGTTTCTTTTTGATGCGGCTTCGCATTGATTGATTGGTCGTTGGACCGTGCAGCACAGCGGCGCCACGGCGCCAATTTGCAGGGCCCCCGATGGCCCTTGTATGGCAAGACCGTTGACCGTTGATCGCCCCCTCCCCGACCCCCAGTTTGACAGTGAGAACCTTCTAATTGGGCTCTAGGTCGCTTGCCCCGCCTTCTTCCGGCCGCCATGCAGGCAAACACCCATTCTAGACGATCGGAGACCCCCGGGCTTACTGTCCCTGCTGTGGCGTGGTCCTTGGGATTTCGGGGTTCCTGCGCTTCCATCTCATCCCCATGTTCTTCCCGATAGCCTGCGGCCCAATTTGACCTTGCCAAGATAATCCGACTTCGCAGCATTGTGTGCGGCAGTGTCCCAGACATGTGCTTGCAGGTGTGGGCGCTGGCAAGGCGGGCGAAGTCGCTCGAACGATGACGATCCGATCGGGGGGGAAGACAGCTCTTTGGGGTGTCCTGGGCCTCTTGCGGAGGGAAAGCTGGTGTCTGTTGGTCCACCTCTTTTCTTCAAACAAGTGGCGTTTACTAAACACGCCTTCCCTTTTCGATTACTTCCTTCGGCGCGTTTTCTACAGGGCTTCGCGTGTAGAGGTGCTTATACAGATGTTGGTTATTATGCCCTCTGTTTCTCCCTCCCCCTCCTCCCTCCCACTGGTCCGCGTCGCCCTTCGTCTTCCTTTCCGCGGCCGCCACAGATCACTTATCGCGGCTGGCGCGCTTCGCCGCACAGTGGTCGTGTCTCGTGTCGAGGCGACACCAGCGCCCATCGAACAGACACCCGACAATGCTGCGTGTCTTTCTCCTTGGGTTCCTCCACAACTGAGTCTTGCCCCCACACTCGCATTTAGCGTCAGGCCCCTCGCTCCTGCCCCGACCTGGTTGCTTCGACGGCGCGCCGACCCAGGATGCCTTTATTTCAGCACCTGCATCGTTGCCCTGTGGGCCTCAGCATGGGCGAACACCGCGTGTCCGGCGATCTTTCAGGGAGCCCCGCCAGGAAGCAGGACTCGGACAAACAAGCGTATGCATATGATTTCGGAGGGCCCCGCGGACCTCCGCAAGCTTACGTTAACGTTGCGATGCTGCTTTCTACTCGAGATTCCCCAGCAGGCGACAGGCAAGGCATGCCAGCCGTTGTTTGTTTGGTGGGTCGACGGAAGGGATGGAGGGGAGGAGAAGCCAGGAACTAAACGCCGCGGGCCCTGCCCTTTTCTTTCCACCCTCTCCCGCCTGGGATGTTCGGACACGGTTTTGAATCAATCGAGCCCTCTCTCTTCAGGAATCCCAAGTTCCACCAAAACGCTCGCAGCCACTTGATACCAGAGGAGGCCGAGGACCGTCCCGCTGCTTCTCGCCAGTGAAGATGGCCGCAGGGAGGGGCACTGACTCGCTTCCATGTTGCCAACACCAACCCACACAATGGTGCCAACTGCCGCGAAACTGGTGGGCACTGCCTTCTCCTGGGCCACGGCATGGCGCATGATCTTGCCTATTGCGGGTTGGGTTATGCCGTTATTTGGGTTCGCCTTCCGACTTCCCGATGAGCATTGCAACCGCCGCATTGTTGACTCGTGTAAGGATGGTCGCGCTCGTATTAATACTTAGTAGTATGATTCTTATGAGTAGTATTAGTAGCAGCAACATGATTAGCATTAGTATTGTTTTAATTATTATAATTATTTGTTCATTATCTGTCTCTTCTCTTCTCTTCTCCTCCTCCTCCTCCAATCCAGCAATCACGCAACTGCCACCCACCCAAGACTGACCACCGTCTCCTTCCTCCCCCTCCTCATCATCACGATCCTTCTTTGGATATGGGCTTTCCGACAATTCCGAATTCAAAAAGTGGCCCCTAAGGCTTATATCATCCTCTTTCCTCCTTTGTCATCCCCCCCCCCTCTCTCCTCCTCATCCTCCCCCATCCGTTTACCTTATCAATAACTCCTCCCTGTCGCACCCCGGGGCGTGTCGGTAGGGCAGGCCGCGCGTTTCGCTTGAAACTTCCTCCAAGTCATGATCCTGACGTTGAAAGTCTCGAACAGCTTACGGATAGGAGGGCGAGTGGTTTTCAAAATGTGGTTCTCGCCCCAGCGTTGCGCACAGTCGCTTCAAACATAGCAAGAGTTTCACGGGTGGACGGCGGGCGGTTCTCTACATGTGGTCCTCGTTTCAGCGCCGCACGCATTCGTCTCAAAAGTTTGCAACCGTTTCACGGATGGGGGCGATGTTCTGGCGTTAGCGCTGCGCACGTTCGTCTTCAAAGTTTGCACGAGTTTGATGAATGGAGGGCGGTGTATTGTCACTGTGTGGTTATCGCTTTAGCGCCGCGCAGATTCGTTTCAAGAGTTTGTAACCGTTTCAAGGGTTCTTGCGGATGACGTCCCAGAAATGGTATGTTGGCACGATGTAGGCTTGCCAGGGAGAAAAATGCACGTTGATTCGCGGTGTTGAAGTCCCAGGAATGGTGTTCTGGCAAGACACAGCATCGCCAGGATGCAACAGTCACGTTGATTCGCGGCGGGTTGGTCTGGAGTGGTTCAGATTTTTCACACGGTCGCCTTCCAACGGGTCAGTTCTTTCAATGGGAGGGTTTACCGCAACATCTTTAATGAGTTTTGGGTTTACAGTGTTCCTCCTCCTCCGTGTCGTTCTTCCTTATCACCAGCCTCCTGCTACTCGACACTGTTCGCCCGACAAGTGTCGATTTTACGTAGGAAGTTGAGTGAGAGTCGCTGAGGCGTTGCAGCGTTTGAACGACTTGCAGACGGGCTTCGAGTTCATCGTGGCCTTGCGCAAGTCCAGTTTCGTGAGACCCAGGGGGGATCGGGGAGCAGGTTAATGGTGATGATATGATAAAGGTGATCATCAACCGCCTGTCACTGGTCTTTCTGCTTTCGCTCCTCTTATAGTATTTCTCTTCTTGCCCCCTGCTCATCGTACTCATCTTCCGGGAGCGTCTGGGAATGCAAGAGAACGACCACATGCTTGCGGAGACCCTCGAACGCCGTGGAGAATTTCAGTCATCCCTGCTCCACTTCCTCGTCGTCCCATTCCTTGCCTTCTCTCTCGTCCCGTTCCCCTGTCTCCTCCAGGGACCGCCGAACGCCTCCGAGCACCACCTCGTCTTCACGTTTTCATTCCGCCTGCTCCCATTCCTCACCCCGCCCGAGGCAGGGGGAGTAGTGAGGAGGCGGCGGCGGCGGCGGAGTAGAAGGAAAGGAGGGAGAGGCAGCGGAGGAGGAGGAGGAGGAGGAGGACGAGGAGGAGGAAGGAGAGGAGGGGAAGGAGGGAAATTTCAAAGATGACAGAAACGACGGCGGCAGCGGCGGCGGCGACGACGACGACAACGTCTTCCTGCCTCCATCAAATGTTCCTGGAGCACGTTCTGGCCTGGATTTCGGGGCGAATCCGGGCGTGGCGACCAGGGCCCGAGAGGGGGCCCAAGCATGACGAAGTACGCCAGCATCTTCCTCCTCCTCCTCCTCCTCCTGCTCCTCCTCTTCCTCCGTCGAGCTTCTAGCTGGTGGCTGGTCTGTTACGCCTGAGTGGAGCCATCGAACGGGCCACCTCAAACCTGGGCAGGGGAGGGCACCGCGGAATCCCTTATTCAGTGAAAATGCGGTCCGGGATTTGGCTTGGCGCGCCGCGCCGCTGATTCCGGCCTTCCGCGCTTCGGCGCGGCACGCTGACCACGTGCAGGTCCCCGAGCGGCACTGTCCCGAGCTTTTCCGAGCCTCCCGCCCCGCGAAGCGAAGCGGTCCGCTGTTCGCTTGCAAACCACAGCGTGTCGCCATGGCCGCCGCCGTGGCTTGCTGAGCAAAAGCTCCTGGCCGTATTGAGGGGCGGGGGACGACAGCGCAGCGGGACGACGGAGGACACAATTGCGACCTAGGGCGGGGGGGAAGAAGAGGGTGGAGGGGGGTCAAGGGCAAGGTACTCCCTCCCCCCGCCCTCAGCCGCAGAGGCGCGCGGGGGCCGCCGCCGCTGCCAGCTTCATTCGATGCGACCCGAATTCGCTGTTCCCTGCGAGATCGAACTCGCGGTTGCCGAAACGCTAGAAACGCTAGGTGCAGCAGGTACCCAAGCAAGCTTGCGGGTGGGGGAAGAGAAAGAGGTAGCTTGGCGGGGAAAGGAATACCTTTGGGATCCAGCGTCGGTGGCGCAGGTGCGGCGGAGCAGATGAAAAGGCGCGGTGCGCACTGAGAGGGGGGAGTGATTCTGGACGGCTCAAGACCTCATTTTCCTCAAGTGTGCCGCCACGTTCGCTTCCTACATACCTACACTTCCCACCTCCACATCTTTTCTTCCACACTTTTGCTGCCTCTTCCAATGGTCATGGCTTCGAGCTCTTCTCCATCGGCCGCCGAGCGTGATGGCCCTCCACGTGCGCACACCCGCGCTCCAGGTACGCCAGTAGGAGTCGGGAGGGAGAGCATTCTGCGCCGACGCCTATTCAGCCCACTAAATCAAATGGATGGCGACGACGGCCCTGAGGTTCACGCACTTGCAACCCCTACGATCCCTGCGGAGGCACTACCACCAGCAGGAGGACCCGTTCAACAGGAGCATCAACATCCACGTCCACCTACCTTGGATCAGATCGCGAACGTGATACGCAAGGAGGTGCAACCTATCCGCAACACCATCAACGGCCTCGAACGCCGCCTGAATGAGATGAGCGGGACCATCAACACCAGGATCGAGGAGGTGGAGGAGAGCATCGAGGACCTCGCCATCCGCCTCACCAACCTTGAGAACCAGACCACCGAGCATTCCGACGCCACGGCCACCCCCCGGAGCGACGACGCGGCCATCTGGGAGCAGATCAAGATGTTGGAGGGTCAGGTTTCGGAGCTAAAAGTATCAGGCAAAGCACAACAATCAAACATGTCAGGGGAGGCAAAGCGGGACCGTACAGCAGTGATTGGAAAGTTGGTTGGTTTCGATTCTATGTCAGCAGCCTCTTCTTGGGTCAAAGACCTGCTTTCCTCGTTGTCGGCGCCTGCAGCTATGGATATATATTCAAAAGGCGACTTCCGAGACATTATCTTCGCGGTATTTGCAAGCGAAGCTGATCGAGACTTGGCAGTTGGATTGTTACGGAGCGCGAGCCCTGACCACGGAGGGACAACAATCTGGGTTACACAGGACAAGCCACCGTGCTTCCGCGCGGCTCGTAACGTATGTTTTGGCTTGAAGCGCATCCTCAACAACGAGCTGAACAACAAGTACAATATACAGATTGCAACCAACGAATTTCCTTTCATAGTCTCCGTTGGTGGCGTTACTGCCCTTTCCGTGGGCGTGGACGAGTCGCGCCTGGTACTGAAATGGGGCCCAGAGTGGGAAGCTTGGGAAGAACTTCAAAAACATCCCATGCTGACCGATCTCATCGCGAAAAACGCCTCGTTGCTGGAGCGGGCCTCCGAGGGCATGAAAGGCACAGCAAAGGGGGGCTCCAAGGGTAAGTAGGAAACACGGCCGGTCCCCAGAGCCGGCCCAGAAGATCTACATGTACATAGTTATACCGCCATCGTGGGCAAAGATACCATTACCGCCGTTACGAACTTGGGCAAAGATACCGTCGTACAGCGGAGAGCGGTCGTTTCATCTCCCTTACTCCACGACGCCGTTCCGCTCCATAGTCTTCTACCTCCTCCTCCCGGCCATCCCCATGGACAAAGTGACGGAGGGTGTCATGAACTATCATCCTCTTCCAGCCTCTCTTGGGGTAGACCTCGGTCTGCCTGCTCACCTTGCTGCCCCGGGCGCATGGGAACGTGGAACATCGAAGGTTTACGAGGCGATTCCATCGTCAAGATCGACGAAATTATCGACATCATGCGCATACGCGAAATAGACATTTTATGTATACAAGAAACGCACTTACATGGAGCAGAATACTACGAGCATAATGGCTACACGATTTTCTTGTCAGGCGAGCTGGACATACACATCACGTCGCACTCTGGTGTTGGGTTTGTGGCGTCGCCAAAAATATTGAAAAGTATTGTGGCCTTCAAGGCGTGCTCTCCCAGAGTGGCCTCCCTACGAGTAAAAGTTAGACATGGTATGCTTACACTGCTTTCCACGTATGCCCCACACAACGGCCGCCCATATGACGAGCGGCACACTTTCTACATGGACCTTCAGGCGCATATCCGAGCAACCACGGCGAACAGCACGACGTACATCATGGGAGATCTGAACGCTAGGCTCGTACGTGCCGGAGCTGGAGAGGAAGCTATCGTTGGTCCTCATGTTTTTCAGTGCGCGGATGCCCCGGATAACGTGGTGCAGAACACAATTTCAAACAGGCACCTCCTAGTGGAGTTATGTACGTCTTGTGGCTTGCTGGTTGCAAACACATACCACGACCACCCTGACGTCATGAAAATTTCCTATAGAGATCTGGGCGTCGATCCGACGGACAACGAGATATCTGGGCGCAAGTTTGCTGAATTGGATCACGTTCTATGCCACCACAGTGTTTTGCATACCTTGCGAGATTCCTGGACGAGCCGACTGGACGTTCTCAATTCGCACCATTACCTAACCATTGTCGAATCAAATTTGGCGTTCAAGCGTCAGGAAACCTCAAAGAAGAAGCACGCGGACAAGGCAAGCCTCAAAGACCCCCACACCAGAGAGCGTTTTACATCAGCATTTGTTGGGGCCGTGGGCGTTTCAATTGGCAATGGCAATGAGTCTGTTGAAGCTATGAACAGTAGGGTACGATACGGTTTCGAAAAAGCCTCTGGAACATTGCCTATGCGGGAGACGGTGCCGAAGCAAGCGTGGACAAGCCAGCGCACTCTTGATTTAATCGAGCAGAGAAGAGATGCACGTTCAGCTGGGGACCATAAAACCGAAAAGCGTTTACATAAGGAGATTCGGAAGTCTGGAGCTCAAGATCGTAAAGAATGGCTGGGCCTACTAATCCAAAGGGGAGGTTGGGAAGCAGTGCGACATCTCAGAAAACCTCCAAGCATCAAGCACGCGACAATACAGCGCCCGGACGGGACCCTGGCAGACACAGCTGATCGAGCAGACGTTTTGGCCGACTACTTCGAAGACATCCAATGGCAAATACGCTTCCCAGAGAATGTCCCGGAACCGCGAGCTCCCATAGGTGATTTGCTACCTATCAACACGGGCCCTTTCATCCCGGATGAACTGGTTGGAGCGCTGCGCCGGCTACGTCGTGGCAAGGCTCCGGGGCCCGATGGTATTCCGCCGGACTTTTGGAAAACTTTGGGATCAGATCCAGAGGCCTCTGCTATAATGCTTCGCCTGTGCCAGACATGCTGGGAACACAAAGCAATTCCCGAGTCTTGGAGGCGCGCGAACGTGGTTCTTTTGTTCAAGAAAGGAAATATCAAGTTGCCAGAGAACTACAGACCCATATCTTTACTCCAAATTGGGTATAAGCTCCTAGCCTCCATGATCCATCAACGTCTAATTCAAGGTGGCGCTGAGTCTCGAATGCGCGGATCACAATTTGGGTTCCGCCCTGGGCGCAGGACGGCAGACGCGCTCATGCTCGTCCGGCGCATGATTGACGCGGCTCACAGCAACAAGCACGGCGGCCTCATTTTGTTAATGTTGGATTGGGCTAAAGCGTTCGACAGACTCAAACCTACAAGCATGTGCGACGCTTTACGACGATTTGGGCTTCCCTCGGACATCGTGGCCATGGTCGAAGCTATCTACGCTGAGCGCTACTTCACGATTGTGGACCACACGGGGAAATCCAAAGAAAGACGGCAAATGGCAGGAATTGCACAAGGATGCCCACTTTCCCCA